CCCAGCCAGGACAGTCTTCAGTAATTAAAGGGCCCTGGAAAAGTCACTGTCATTGAGAGACCTGTGGGTGTTGGACAGGAAATCATTTGTCCCCTGCAATCACTGAACCCACAGTGAGCCCAAGTGGGAGCCTGGGTGGGTCACCTCTGGGAGAACACAGAGGGGACGGGTGTCATCTACCATCAATGAACATTTGGAAAAAATTCATGCCAGTCCTGAACTGGACAAGGACCAATGCAGGAATCTAGCCCTAGTGAGGAAACGTTAGGACAGACAGGAAGACACCAACAGCTGAGTTAGAATGAGATGTGCCCAGCTGGGTGATACAGACATGTAGGACATAGTGGGAATGCAAAGAGGGGCACCCAACCCAAGGAGTGGACCCTGAGTGCCATCCTTCGCAAGCACAGAAGGAAGTGGGCTTTGGGAGAGTCCAAACTGTGATGCCGACCTGGCTCTGTCCACTCCAGGCACCCTGAGCAGGTCACTCGACCCTCCTGAGCCTCAATTTTCTACGTAAACTGAGCTCAGTGGTTTGTTCTAACATCAGCCTGGATGTTGCTTTTGAGGCATTTTGTAGACATGATAAACATCTACCATCTTGCCAACAGAGGTCTGTACAGCAAAGCTATGATTTTTCCAGTAGTCATACATGATTGTGAGAGTTGGACCATAAAGAAGGCTGAGCATCGAAAAGTGATGCTTTTGAACTGAGATGTTGGAGAAGACTCTTGAGAGTCCCTTGGACAGCAAGATCAGACCAGTCAATTCTAAAGGAAATCAACCCTGAATATTCATTGTAAGGACTTGCTGAAGCTCCAATACTTTGGCCACCTGATACAAAAAGCTGACTCATTGGAAAACACGTTGATGCTGGGAAAGATTGAGGGCAAGAGGAGGAAGGGGTGACAGAAGATGAGATGGTTGGATGGCATCACTGACTCAATGGACATGAGTTTGAGCAAACTCCAGAAGACAGTGAAGGACAGGGAAGCCTGGCATGCTGCAATCCATGGGGTTGCAAAGAATCAGACATGGCTAAGCTATTGAATAACAACAAAGTCAGTCGACTTTAAGTAGATTATTCTCAATAATGTGGGTGGGCCTCAGCCAATCAGCTGAAGGCCTGAAGAGCAAAGACTGAGCTTTGCCTGAGAAGGAATTCTACCTCAGGACCGTAACTGAAAAGTCCCCCCTTGAGTTTCCAGCCTGTGTGCTCAATTGCTCAGTTGTATCCGACTCTTGGCGACCCCATGGACTGTAGCCTGCCAGGCTCCTCTTTCCATGGGATACTCCAGGCAAGAGTACTGGAGTGGGTTGCCATGCCCTCCTCCAGGGAATCTTCCCGACGTCTCCTGTGTCTTCTCCCCCACAGGCAGGTTCTTTACTGCTGAGCCACTGGGGAAACCCCAAGTTTCCAGCCTGCCAGCCCCCAGAAGCATGTGAGCCAATTTCATACAAGCAAATCAACCCGTCTCTCCATCAATTTCCACCCCTCTCCCCATCATTGGTTTCTCTGAAGAACCTTGACTGATTCAAGGATTAATTCAGTAAAAAGAAAAGCGATGAGGAGGTGTTTAAAATTATGTAATTTCATAAAACTAAGAGATCAAGAGAGGAAAAATCCCTCTCAAAGAATTGAGCTAGGGACTTCCCTGGTGGTCCAGTGGCTAAGACGCCATGCTCCCAATGCTGGGGGCCTGGGTTTGATCACTGGTTGGGGAACGAAGATTTCATGTGCTGCAACTAAGATCCAGCCCAGCCAGACAAATAAATAATTAAATAATTGTTTTTTACATTAAACTTAAGAGAAGAATTGCCATAGGCATCAGTAGGGAATATTCCTTGTAGAGCATGAGCGCCATCCACCTGTGGATTGACTGAACTTTAAGAAGACATCTTTGGGTCATATGGATCAAGAAGTTGTCATACAGATATACAATGGAATATTACTCACTCATAAAAAATAGAATGCATTTGAGTCCGTTCTAGTGAGATGGCTGAACCTAGAGCCTGTTACACAGAGGGAAGTCAGTCAGAAAGAGAAAAACCAACATAGTATACTAATGCATACATATAGAACCTAGAAAATGACATTGATGAACCTATTTGCAGGGAAGGAATGGAGACACAGATGTAGAAAATGGACTTGTGGACATAATTGGGAAGCAGGAGAGTGGGACAAAAGGAGAAAATAGCATCAACCTATATAACTCCCAGGTGTGAGATGGACAGCTGGTGAGAAGTTGTGTAACACGGGAGCTCAGCCAGGCACTCTGGGATGACCTGGAGGAGTGGGATCGGGGAGGGGAGGGAGGCGAGGGACGGAGGGGATGTGTAGTCATGGCTGATTTGCCTTGTTGTATGGCAGAAACCAACACAACACTGTAAAAGTTTTTTAAAATATTTTTAAATTTTAAAAAAGAAAAAAAAAAAGAGTAAATCTTTGGCATAAAACTGGGGAAGTGCTACTGCAGTCACTGGACAGTTCATTTAAAACCTGGTATCTACAAAAGCAGATCCCACATGTTAATCCTCATCAAGCTGGATATGGGATTAAGCTGGACACCACAACAAACCACCAAAACAGATGGAAGCTGCAATGCCCAGCAGAGAAAGTGATGCCTTGGTGCAAACCGTGGTCGCCAGGGGTCTCCTTGTGGTGGCTGACCCTTCCTGTTGGGGAGGACCTAGACACAGTCTGGGGACTTTCAGAAATCCCTGAAGTGACTTTGCAGGAGTGGAATCAGCTTGAGCATGCCTGTGCTGTGTGTTGCCAGCTAATAAAACACAATTTTCAGATAGTTTTGTTACTAAACCACAATCAATTGAAACATTTGGAGGTAAATGGTTGTGGCGGGCAGGCTGTAAGCTTAAGTGCTGTGTTTTATGTATCATGTAATTCCTGTGTGTTTATTCACTCTTCAAAACATCAATATCCACAGAGCTGCAAATGAGCTAGTAGCACCAAGGCTCAGCCTGAATGAGGTTTTCTGTCTAGAGAGGTATTAATACAGGGATGCATGCATGCTAAGTCACTTCAGTCATGTCCGACTCTTTGAGACCCTATGGACTGTAGCCTGCCAAGCTCCTCTGTCCATGGGATTCTCCAGGCAAGAACACTGGAGTGAGGAGCTAGTTCCTTCTCTAGGGGATCTTCCTGATCCAGAAATTGAACCTGCATCTCTTGCATCTCCTGCATTGGCAGGCAGGTTCTTTATCACCAGTGCCACCTGGGAAGTCAAGTACAGGGATACCTAAGTCAAAATGATCATTTTTATTGCACCCAGAAATCCGCCTCTTGACAATTGGTCCCTTGCTTTAAGGCTTAAATAATCTCAAAATCTTCACAGGTTTAAACACAAACAACCCGGCAAAGCACACAAAGAAAAGTCTTTTTTCCCCCCTAAGTGATGATTCATTCTATCGTCTGGGACTAAATGGAGCACACATTTCACAAACGAGAGCACGCTGGTACATTTAATTCCAGCCTGGAGAAGGACAATGACTTGCAAACCACTTTACCTCTCAAAGCAATAAGAACTTCAACCAAGAGGACATTTTAGAGTCATTCTTATTTCAAGTCTTCTATCCTGGCCCAAAGTGGGTCACTGAAACTCAGATAAAAATTATAGAAGTGGGGACTTCCCTGGCAGTCCAGTGGTTAAGATTTTGCCTTCCAATGCAGGGGATTCGGGTTCAATCCCTGGGCAGGGAGCTAAGATCCCACATGCCAGAAAAACAAAAGAGAATAGAAACAATAATCCAACAAATTCAGTAAAGACTTTTTAAAATAAATTACAGAAGTGGTGGTTGAAAATACCAATCGACTACATTGCTATTGACATATACACCCAAGCTAATAGCTGCTGCTATATTGTGCTCCTGTTTAGTCGCTAAGTCGTGTCTGACTCTTTGTGACCCCATGGACTGTAGCCCGCCAGGCTCCTCTGTCCATGGGATTTTCCAGACAAGAATACTGGAGTGGGTTGCCATTTCCTTCTTTGTGCAAAACCCTTTTTTTTTTCCTTCTCTCTTCCCTTTTCTTTGTTCTTCCTTCATCTCCCTGGGCCCCCATCATGTACCTTCCTTAACTCTTAAATCCCCTCCTGCCTATCACCATAAGCAAAATAGGAAAGTGGATCAGCATGTGATCCATTGCTAAGTCTAGAGTAAAAACATCACCCAGATTATCTCCCCACTAAAATAGTTGGAATTCCCACAGTTGGGAAGGGAGAGGAGGCAAGTGACATTCCACCATGTGTTTCTGGAGGACTGCTTCCCGTGGTGGGAGTTACACAGCATTGCCTAAGACTTCACAGGGCATAAGCTCTGTCCTTGCTGGAACTGTGAGAACATCTGTGGGTCATAAATCTTTGAGGAACAGTTGACATTGTGGATCCCACAGCAGTAGGCATTTGGCAAGAATCACTTAAATCCATCAACTGCTTAAATGTACATATCAAATGCTGGGTAAAGTGATGACAAACTAGATACAGAGGTTCCTGCCCTGAAGATGTGTGTGGCTCAATTGTGGCAAAAAGTCCTAGAGATTTTCCTTCATTTGCTCATTTCCTACATGCCCAAATAACAGGGGAGTGTTTGGGGCTTCCCTGGTGGCTTAGTGGTAAAGAATCCACCTGTCAATGCAGGAGATGTGGGTTTGATCAGGAAGAGCCCTTCTTGAAGGAAATGGAAACCCACTCTAGTATTCTTACCTGGAGAATTCCATGGACAGAAGAGCCTGGCAGGCTACAGTCCATGGGATTGCAAAGAGTCAGACAAGACTTAATGACTAAACAACAAGAAGGAACCAGAGAGACTAAGAAATGACCTCACCAAGAAACACCCAAGGCCAGTTGTAATGATACATAGAAAACAGGAGACAACATTGGAGAACTCTATTTTCAATGGATAGATTTTAAAACTGGAAGGATATACCTAAAAATGTTATTGGTGATTATCTCTGAGTGGGGTATAAGTATTTTCCTTTTCTGCAGGTAACGCGAGCAGCTCCTGCTCTCACCCGGATCAGACCTGGTCTCTGGTCTGTTGTGGAGCACAGCCCCTCCTCTCATGGGCATCCTTTCTGTGAGTTTGAGGCACCTGGCCTTCCTGTCCCGGAGCAGAGGAAGGCACGTGACCAGGACCAGCCAGAGGACGCTGGTCAGTGGCTGCCAACTGTGGCGAGGTCAGGGGTGTGTATGGGCTCTGAACTTGGACATCAGCACCTTCCCTGGAGCATCAGAAAAGGGCACGTCTTCTCTCTAGGTCACTGTCAGCTGGTGAAAGTGAAAGTGATTTAGTCATGTCCAACTCTTGGCAGCCCTATGGACTGTAGCCCACCAGGCTCCTCTGTCCATGGGATTCTCCAGGTAAGAATACTGGAGTGGGTTGCCATTCTCTTCTCCAGAGGGTCTTCCTGACCCAGGGATTGAATCGAGTCTCCTGCCTTGCAGGCAGATTCTTTACTGCCTGAGCCATCAGCAAAACCCAAAGCTCAGCTGATAAGACCACTGTTAACCTAGAATTGACAGCGTGACTTTTTCTTGTGGTGGTGGTTTTGCCACCTCATTAAGACAGCCTTCTGACATGAAGCCAAGATATAGGAAAACAGAAACAAAATAGGGAGAGGAAAAGAGAGACTCGCTCAAGAAATAGGACCTCTATATAGAAAAAAAACTTAGGGTTACCAGGGCTTCCCTGGTAGCTCAGATGGTACATAATCTGCCTATGATGGAGGAGACCCAGGTTTAATCCCTGGGTCGGGAAGATTCCCTGGAGAAGGGAATGGCCACCCTCTCCAGTATTCTTGCCTGGAGAATTTCAAGGACAGAGCAGCCTGGTGGGCTACAGTCCATGGGGTCACAAAGGCAGACACGACTGAGCGACTAGGTGCGCGCACACACACACACACCGGGGGGTAGCGGGAGGGATAAACTGAAAGATTGGGACTGACACATACACATGACTGTATCTAAAATAGAGAACTAATAAGGACCTACTGTATAACACAGGGGACGATACTCAATACTGTGTAATGGCCTATATGGAAAAAGAATCCAAAAAAGACTGGATATATGTGTAACAGATTGCTATACACCTGAAACTAACAAAATATTGTACATCAATTATACTCCAACAAAAATAAAGAAATATGATATTGGGTTGATGGGAGACTGGATACATGTGTGTATGGCTGAGTCCCTTCACTGCTCACCTGAAACTACCACAACACTGTTAATTGGCTATACCCCAGTACAAAATGTTTTTGATGTTTAAAAAAAAATTTTTTTTAATGTGATCTCTAGAAAGAATATCATCTTTCAATCCAACATTACCACTGATCCAGAGTTTTCTATTAATAAAACCTCACCAAACCTCTTGACTTTTTATTTGTTGAGCCATACATTTTCCTGTGTTCAGATGAGTCTGGATGGGTTTCTGTTCATCTGATAAGGAGAGATGCCTGACTGACACATCTTTTCTGTACTTTTTTCACTTCCCAGATTTTGATTATGAATATACATTGTTTTAAGTAGCCAGTGATTATTGGTTTATTTTTAAAAGATAATTGCACAAGAAAGTCTGTGCATACTGACTAGTCTATTGCATTTTTTCTTTTTTTTTTTTTAACTGGGTAAAGAAAATAATTTTTTATTGATTTCTCCTAGGACTTCACAAAAATCTTTCTTAAAAATACTCTGTATTGACCTATATGAGAAAAGAATCCCAAGAAGAGTGGATATATGTATATTATAAACTGATTCACTTTGCTGTACACATTGTAAATCAACTATACCCCAATAGCTTTTTAAACAGTTTTTGAAGTTAATATATCTTCTTTTCCATAAGGTGGTCAACTTCCGAGTACCCTATAAACCTACTCTCACGTAGCTCATCTCCAAGAATCTAGTGTATTATTTGTGGATTGTTTGTTTTCTCACTCTTGCTATACTGAATTTTTTCTCATTTCTATGACCTAGCCTCCTTTTATAAGTGGCTCAAAAGCATCAAAGAGACAAACCAGGTTTTCCAAGCAGACGGTACAGTGACGTAATAACTGCAAGTCACGAGCCCCAGGGTATGACTCATGGTCTAAGGGGTTGTCTGACTTAGTCTAGACCCATATCCTTTACAGAGGTAGGACTTGTTCTTCCAAGCATCATAGATGTCAGTCCCAGAGTTTGTCCAGAAAAATTCTCAGAAAGCCAAGAACAACGTCTGAGTCTCAACTTCCACAAATTGAAAAGGGAAAGAAAACAGACTAAAGATTTGTCCTCACACTAATATTTCAAGTCTACTTTTTAACTGAAACAAAATAGGGCTGGAAAAAAAAAAAAGACTTGCCAAAAAAACAGCACAAATCTCATGATGACAAGCGAACAATAAGTGGGTATACCCAAGCCTTATAATTTACAGTGAACAATCACATTGAATGTCATGTGGTAAGCTGCAAAAAAAGAGAGAGAGAAACTTTAAGAAAGGAGACGACTCCTAAATCTGCACTGAGAGAAACCTTCAAACAACCCTAATATGGCATGTTGTGAATAATTGAACAACTAAATTAAGGGTCATTGTAAGAAAACAGATTTGTTGAATGCAATGTGGCAAGTTCAAAAGAGAGAGAGAGAAAGAAACTGTAAGAAGGGAGAGGAAAATTACTGTTTCTGAGATTTAAAAAAAAAAAAAGAGGAAAGAAGGCAGAAATGTTCTCATCTGATTAAGCCGGCCTAATGGTCCTGCTACAGGTTAGCTATACAGGAGAAAACTCAAGAAAAGTAGAAAGAATATAAGTAATCATCACTGAAAATATTCAGCAGAAATTAAACCTCAAGGTCTTGTGGGGGAAGAACTTCCTCTTCTGAAGATGGCCTGATACTACTTTTCAACAGCTTGAGTGACACCTAGTGTCCAGCCAGGGAAGTGAAGTAGCTCGCTAGTTGAGAATCACATGAAAGCTTCACATCCGCTGTGGAGGATTAGTTAAAATAGACCCTCTTTGTTCCTTTCATTTCAGAAACATTAACGGAAGCTGCAGGCAGAGTTGTTCAGGTGACCAGCATTGTCAACATTAAGCATCATGACTGTGGGCAAGTCACTTGACTCTGGACTAAATACCCCAGTGTTTTCCCTTCAAGTCACAAATGGCTATTTGTCTAAAAGTTTCCATGGAGAAATATATGGCAGAAACACTTGGTTAAATAAATGCTGGTAGGTTTCATTACTGCAGAATTTCTCAGAGTTTCTTTTTAAGTTCATGAGCATTGTCAGTTTCCAAGAATGAGCTATGAAATGCAGTGTCTTCCAACTTGACTGCATGGAGAACAATTATTTTTTCCCCAGAGCATCTTAGAGGATGAGGCTCCTACAGAACTCTGAGAAATGCTATGCTGAAAGTCCCTTCAGTTCTAACATTTTATGACCACATGTGGTTAATTATAAATTATTAAAGGCAATGCCGTCACTAAGGCTACACAGTTAAATGCCATACTTTAGACATGTTGTATCAAATTTTCACACACATTAAACAAAAACAAAGTCAAAATACATCAGTGTTTGAATTTTAGAACTTATATATTAGTGCTTTAAAACCCAATTTCAGGGACAGAGATTCAAAAGGGAGGGGACATATGCATACCTATAGTTGATTCATGTTGATGTATGTCAGAAACCAACACAGTATTGTAAAGCAATTATCCTTCAATTAAAAATAAATATTTTTTAAAATCCAATTTCAATATAAATTTTAAGGCAACTTTAGATTCCATCAAGCTTATTTTCCTATTAGTTTTTGTTCCAAGAGCTGTTAAAGTATATCTCCTGATGGGCTATATAATTCATTCCATTTAAACTTCATGTTAATTCACTTATTTAAAAAAAGCAGGAGGACAGGCGGTGAGGGAGGGAGAGAGAGTAGCCCCTTGATAACTCAGTTAGGTAATCCTGCATCCTTAATTAGATGAGAAAAACCTTAACTGTATCCCCTATTTGACAGGAGCCCAGAGATACATTCCAGATACTGCACCAAAAAAAAAAAAAGAAAGCAAGAAAAACCTTTAGCAAACAGATGGTATCATTCTGTAACTAAAAACATTCTCTAATCATATTTAAGTTACTAATATGCATTTCAAGGCTTATTAGCAAAATACTTTATAGTATTGATCAAGACCTTCTAAGGCCAGTTAACATCTCCAATGTATAGATGCAAATACTTATCTCTCTACTTAAGAAGCAAAAGGATTCCTCTTCCTCCCACATCCTCCTCCCAGCCCCGTGGACTCGGAGTCCCCAGATTTCTAGGGAAATCTGAGGTTACCCCAAAGCCCTCAGGTTCCTCAGTTCAGTAAACTCGCTGAGAAGGGAACCTCCCCACCCTTCGCCAGCCTAAACTCCCTACTCCCACTTCTCTATTTACTGAGTGTTTAAAAAATACATCGACTTTTCTGCCAGATATTTTATAGTGACCTTGGTCTAAACCCCATCCTCGCAATTGTCTGGCAGAAAGACGGGAAGGGGGTTGTCACCCTGTATACTTACTATATGAGGACACTCAGGCTGGGGAAGGAGAGGGAAAACTAGGACCTAGTCTCCCAGCGCCTCCCATGGGATTCCCACTCCACATCGGGCTCCACACGAGGCTGCGGTCCCGAGCAAACAGCGGGATGCTTCTCTTCAGATTCTGACCTCACCATTTATTAGATGATGGCTTTGGTTAAGTTCCTTAACCTCACTAAGTATCAAATGGGCATATTGTGGCAGACACTTTATAGAAAGAGAAGGATTAAATTGGTTAGTATACATGCAAGAAACTCATCATGGATTTTAGAACATAATAAATGCTAGTTAAAGTTTCTACTAATGACAATTTCTTTATTCTTCCAAAATGTGTATTGAGCACTCACTCTGTACAAAGCAAGGGAGTTGCGGTCATTGCCCTCATGGATGCTGTAGCTCTTTTAGTATAATTATTACTATTATTATCATTTCCACGAGCTCTTGGGCTTCCAAGGTGGCTAGTGGTAAAGAACCTGCCTGCCAGCGCAGGAGACAAAGGTTCGATCCCTGGATCAGGAAGATCCCATGGACAGAGAAGCCTGGTGGGCTACAGTTCATGAGATCTGCAACTGAGCACACTCACACACACAAACATTAACATGATTTCTTGAGCTAAACTTCTAAAGCAATGTAATAGTGTACTTTTCCCTCTAGAGGGAGCTCGAGGAACTGCTTCACCGCACCTTTAAAGAACTGCTTTTTGTGTAGGTCAAGGACAAAAGAGAATCCTA